CTATGAGCTCTTCAAGATATGAAGGGGCCTGACCATGAAGAGCTTTATAGGTGAGGAGGAGGATTTTAAATTCTATTCTAAATTTAACAGGGAGCCAATGCAGAGAAGCTAGATGATGATGATGATCATGACTTACTCATGGAGGAGTATAAAGACTGTTTCGAAGGACTTGGATGTCTACCTGGGGAACACAAAATACGTGTGGATAAAAGTGTGTCTCCTGTTTTGCATCCTTGTAGGAAAATCCCTTTCGCACTGCGTGAAAAACTGAAAGAGGAGCTAGCGCGTAGGTAAAAACTAAAGGTTATCAAGAAAATAGAACTGAATGGGTCAGCTCGCTGGTTGTTGTGCAAAAGAAAACAGGTGCTCTGAGAACGTGCTTGGACCCAAGGGACTTAAACAAAGTAATCAAAAGAGAACACTTTAAGTTACCAACCAGAGAAGAAATCATGGCACAGTTTGCTGGAGCTAAATGGTTCAGTAAACTAGACGCTTCGTCAGGTTTCTGGCAGCTGAGGCTGGACGAGGACAGTTCGAAGCTGTGCACGTTCAACACGCCTGAGGGCAGGTACAGATTTCTTCGTCTGCCGTATGGTATCTTATCAGCGCCTGAAGTCTACCATAAGACTATTCACATGATTTTCGAGCACATACCAGGAGTAGAGACAATGATGGATGACATCATAGTCTGGGGGTCGACTCGAGAAGAACACGACGAAAGACTGAGACAAGTGCTAGACAAGACAAGGGAAGTGAATCTGAAGCTTAACAAAGACAAATGTGAGTTTGGAGTGAAAACACTTACCTTTGTGGGAGATGTTGTCAGTGAAGAGGGGGTGAAGCCCGACCAGAGAAAAACGTCAGCAATCAACAATATGGAAAGACCAAACAACAAAGATGAGGTCAGAAGTTTGTCCCACAGCTGTCAGCACAGTCAGCACCTCTCAGGAGTCTTCACGAACAAAAGAATGAATGGATCTGATCCCATGAGCAGGAACAATGTTTTGTGAAACTGAAAGAGACTCTGACACAGGAGCCCGTGTTAAAGTTCTACAACCCAGAGAAGAGAACAAGGATCTCAGCAGATGCGTCACAGTACAGCCTGGGAGCGGTGCTGCTGCAGCAACACGACGAGCAGTCTACCTGTCGCCTATGCATCCAGAGCCTTGACAAGCGCCGAGTCCAGGTACGCTCAAATTGAAAAGGAGCTGTTAGCGAGCATGTATGCATGTGAACGTTTTCACCAATACGTCTATGGTCAAGCTTTTGAAGTAGAAACTGACCATAAACCTCTGGTGTCCATCATGTCCAAACCTCTGAATGACTGTCCTGTACAGATACAGCGCATGCTAATCAGGCTGCAAAAATATGACGTGCACATGATATACACACAAGGGAAATACATGTACACCGCCGACACCTTGTCTAGAGCAGTGGATAAGGAGGAACGTGCGGACAGCTCGAAAAGTGCAGAAATACAGGCATATGTGGACATGATCGTGATGTCTCTGCCAGTAACAGCTGACAGAACAGAACAAATATGGAGAGAGACAAATGCAGACAAAACAATGAAAGAACTTAAGCGCACAGTACAGACAGGATGGCCTGAAAACAAAAAGGACTGCTCCATGAAAATACAAGACTACTGGAACTGCAGAGCAGAGCTCACCATGGTGGATGACATAGTGTTGAAGGGGAGCAAATTTGTCATTCCATCCTCACTACGTAAACAAATGCTCCAAAAGATACACGAAGGCCACCTTGGAGAAGTCAAGTGTAAATGCCGGGCGAGAGAAGTAATGTACTGGCCGAGAATCAACCAAGATATCAGCCAGACAACAGCGTCATGTGAACTTTGTCACACCTACAGGCCAAAACAAGCTGAGCCGCTGATTACTCATCCGGTGCCCCACAGACCTTACTACAAGGTTGGAACTGACCTATTTGACTGTGATGGAAAGAGTTACATAGTGGTCATCGACTACTTTTCAAACTATCCAGAAGTTGGAGTGCTGCAGTCAACATCAAGCAAAGCAGTCATCAGCTACCTCAAGACTGTCTTCGCCAGGCATGGCGTCCCATGTGAACTGTTTTCGGACAATGGGCCCCAGTTTTCCAGCTGTGAGTTTGCTGCCTTTGCCAAAGAATACAGCTCAGGTGACGGTTCAGCAGGACACGGCTGAATCTATAGAGCTAACTAACAGTAGTCTGACAGCAGCGTGTGCGTCACCAGCTGCTGTGACACCTTCTAAACTGTCAAAATCGCCAGCTGTTGAAAGACAGGCTAGACCTAAGAGACATGTTCAGTCACCTAAGAGGTTGATTGAGAGTTGCTAAAGTCTCTTTAGTATTGCATGTTGCTGAACAAAGGAGTAACATGGACCTTTAAGTTCATCGTTATAAAAAAAGAATGTTGACATGATTCTAAGTTTGTGTTTTGATGCTTAGAGTTATGTTATGTTAAAAAGAAAAAGTGTTTAAATTGAAAAGTTGTTTACAAGTAAAGTAACAATGCTAAAAAAAAGAAGAAAAATAGCACTTTAGGATGGCTATGTTTTACAGGGGTAAATATTATTTCTTTATAGGGGGAAAGATGTGATGTTATGAGTACATTAGGT